ATTGACCAGCTGCCGTTGGTTTTACAGCTTTTCCTTAGTTCCGACTTTTCTTTAAGCTTTTTCCTGGGGGCTATCTAAATTTGCTGAAAAAAGTGAGTGTTTTCTATTGATTTTTGTGGGAAGCTTAGAGTTTAATATGGTGAAAGCATTTTACTTAAAATGTTTAGAACAGAAAATAATAAAAGAGAATGTAATCTACAAGTTAACTTAAAGTTGAACTTAAAACTACTTTAAATTCGTTTAGTTTCTTGGTACAAATTATCAAAGAAACACTCCTTAAATACTCGTTTTTGAGAAACCATTATCATTTCATTGCTCCACCTTCAACCTCTTCTTTCAACCTGTATCTTTCAGCTTTTTCGCACATAAATCTTCTGCCTTTTTAAGCCAAAAACATCGTGGGTGATCTTCCCTTTATTCAAGCCACACAAAAGCGCATTCAATGATTGATTATCTTCCTATAATTTATTAATTTGACACCCACGCTCCAACGGAAATACACAAAATAGATGGGTTTTTGTGAATATTTTAATAATCAATAGATGATTTCAATCATTTTGCGTAAGGAAAAAATCTGTCAGAGGAAAAGAAGAGGGAGGGAGCGTTGCATGCCCGCATTTGCAACGGCAGTTTGGAAAAAATGAGATAGAGCGGGAGGAAGAAAAATGATTTCTGCCGACTCACGATAAGAGCTAAAATATTCCCGGGGAGTTTATCTTGTCGAGGCAATCGCGTTCGATTATTAACCCTCATAAATAAGGCTCACAGTAGCCCTTAACCCCTCTCCAGCAGCGCCTTAACCCACAGGCTGGCTTCGCAGACTTTTCATTTCCATGAACATGTGTCCCTGCACCTCATCTCCTTGTTATTACACACGCTGCACTGGAAAAATAATTAGTTTAAAAATGTTTTTAATATTTTTAACATTATTAGTATTAGCAACTCATGAAAATAAATAGTTAAGGAATGAAGTTTCTGTCTGTCCTGATGATTAAGTTATTAATTAAAACAAATAATAAAAATATTTTTTAAAAATTTAAAGATCAACTTTTTAAGGAATACAATTTTTCCTTCTCAAAGAGAACCCCAAAAAAGTGGTCTTATTTCTGCCCTTGCACTGTGTGCTCTTCTAATAAATGTTTTTCAATTTTCATTGTGGTTAGTCATTATTTTCCTTGGCTCATCATGCAAGTCCATTGTTGTTGTCTGCGGCTTTTCGTTGAAACTGAAGGAAGCGGTGGGGGAGGGGGAAAATGCTTTATCATCGACTGGAGGTTCGCCTTTGTTGGCTTATTGAGCCATAACTGCAACTTTGTTTGTTCTTTCACTCGTTACAACTTCTTTTTTTGTGGTTTTCCACATCTTTTTTTTGCTGATTAATCATGCTTTTTTTCGGTGGGTTAAGCTGGCAGCTGTGCTCTGAGCCTGAGCACTGAGTGAAAGTATCTTGAGTTTAATTTTCCTATGTTTTGATAATCGAATTAGGTTGTTCGGGTGAATTAATTGCTGGTAATTTGAAGTGGTGAACTTGATTAAATGTTGGTTCGCTGAACTTTAAATTGGCTTCTCTTCAAGTCGTTTTTATTTCTTCATATTTGTTGTATTGAAAAGCATGATATTAATTGAAGTAACCAATAAAGTAGCCTCTACCTGCATTATTTACTACTAAGCCCGTCAGATGTTCTATCAATATTAGACAACTCATCATCATCTGGCTGTGTTTTTCCTGTAGTATCCCTTTCCCTTCAGTCCCAAAACCAATTGCCAAAGTCATCATTTTTCACGGCATGCCAAAGGCACCCGCTTTTCCTTTTCCTGTCAAAAAATGTTTATTTTTTATTTCTTTTAAATTTCCCCCCCAAATAAGCGGCCAGCAAGGTGACCAGGCTAATGCCATGTCCTACCATTATAATTTCCACGTTTTATTTTTTGCCGTCTCACCGAGCCAGAAATGTTATAAATCATTCGCCTGGCCATATTTTTAATAGAGTTGTTACTTGTTTGCTGACCTTTTTTGGCCTTTTTTCTGTTGTTTTGGGAGGGTCGATTGCGGTTGATTTTTTTGGTGTGTTAATTAAATGCCAGGCTAGTTTGCAGTTTTCAATTTTGAAAAGGGTTTTGGTCTTTGTAATCTTTTAATTAGCAAACATAACTCTTTTCTCGGCCCATCTAACCTTATCTCTGTTTTTATTTTCCTTGCAGGTGAGTGAACTTTCCGAAGGATAACAAGCGACTAAAATGATTCGAGTAAGAAGAAAAAAGTTTATAATCAACCAAACAAGCGAAAAACTGGAAAAAAAAGAAAGGGAAAGCCGTTCGTTGAGCAAAGTCAAATCAAGTGAAAATCTTTTCACACCCAGAGATACAATAGAAGGAGGCGAATACGCCGGATGGTGAGGGATTTCCTTTTCCTTTCGCCTCAGTCTTCACTTTCACCCGGCAAACAAAGCGGTTTTTGTATGTTTTGAGTGACAAAACCGCAGCACAGACATTGACTTTTCACTGGGCTTTCCAACTCTGGGATCCCCAAAAACTTTAAAGAACCGAAACCAGGAACATTGTCATCATCATCGTCATCTTCGGCATCAGGCAGCCCAACATTTCCTTCCGCTTGTTAGAGGAGGTTTTATTTGGGGATTTTCAGGGGCGGAGACAAAATTTTCTTTTCTTTCTTATTCTTTTTTTTTTTTTGCAAGCGTCACATTTGACGCCACACCAAAATAGGATGGGGATTAAAGGGGAAAACTTGCGGTTTGAGAGGGTGACTTTTCCAGGCGGTCTACTGTAACTACCTTTGGCATATGGTTGAGTTGGCTTTGGCTTTCGAAGCCCAAGCCCCACGTGATTGATGGTTATTCTATGGTCCATGCATAGCCCTTTTTCGGCCCCCTCACTTGGGTTTTCATCTGCACCTGTTGTCGCCACCAGTAAACTGGAAAAGTTGCTGAAAAGTAAGGAAAGCTCTTCAAGATGTTCCCAGCGATAGGCTGGGGCTCTATAAAAATGAAACAGCCCATAGGGAACTAAACCTCATAAGGTTTATCATTGCCATTTCCTGTTGGGTTTATTTTTCTTGGAAAAAGAGACCCCAAGGAAATGCAGATTATAGTTCTGTATTCTATTTTGGGGTGGTAAAAGAGGAGCCAGCATGAGAGTTCTAGTATCGGAAAAACTTATAAGCTGAAAAAATTAACTATAATACCTGTCAGTACTTCTTCTGTGATATTAGATTAAAATTCCCATAAAACACCTTTAAAAAACACCTTCAAAATGTTCCTGCAGCTCAAGCTTAACTTTCACTTTACCCCCCCCCCAGTTTCCAGTTTTTCCAAAAGGCTACTCCCGTTTCGACATGGAAAACATCTCTAAATCTCTAAACAAGCTGCGTCTCGTTTCTCAGTTCTCGATTCTCTACTTCCGAGACTTGTACGTCAATGTCAAACTTTGACAGATGCCAGCCGGCAGAGAAAGGAGCTGAGAAAAAAACCGAAGCATGGATTTACTTTTATTTTATTACTGTCATTGTAGCTGACTCGCTTCTTCTTCGCCTTCTAAGGGAAACCTTTGGGTCCAAGGCTGTGGTGTTGGTGGTGGTGAAAAGGGGAGAGAGATCATTGGGTGGTTGGGTGTCTTTCCATTGCCGTTATGTGGCTTTTGCGTAAGGATACATGGTCGTCGTTATCCCTTTGGCTGCTTTATCATCCATCTGTGTTCCCTGCCTTTCTCCATTCTTTGTTATCTGCTGTTTAGTCAGGCAGCGGAGGCGGTGGGGTGAATGGGAGAGAGTTTTCCGGGAGAGAAAGTCCTGAGTCCTTCGTCTTGGTCCTGCTTCGACTGGCTAGCTTTTTGGCAAGTCGTAAATTAAAAATGGCTTAATATGTAAATCCTTGCAGCTTCCTGCCATCTCTTTCTATCTATCTAGTTCTGGCCCTTTTCCTCAGATTAGTTCTGTGGATATTTGAGCTTACGCCTGTCCCTGTCTTGCCATCCATATCTCTGCATCTCCATCTTTTCCTCGGACATGCTGCACTGTGGGGTTAATGCTGCTGGGGGTCCCTTCAACCCCACACACATCTTACTCGCTTATTTGCTCGGTTGTTTGTTTTGTTTTCCTTGGCTGTTGCGACACTGATATGCTTGTGTTGTCATTAGTCAACAGCATGCCAAGGAGGATGGCCAAATGCATGAAAGTGAATCCCCTTGTTGCCATGTTTGTTGCAAAATCAACTTTTCCACAAACTTTGATTTTTGGAAGTTTCAATTTTAGTCGGACAGAAGGGGTAAAAGGTAATCTGGTAAATTAAATTCACAAAATTTATAGTTTTTAATTTCCTTTATGAATTAAAATTACTCGCTCCTATATAGTTCAAGGTTCTTGACTTTATCTATATGTCACAGAGACCCCGCCCCATCCAGTGCCCTATAAATTTGCATTAATGGCCACTGTGCATCATTCCAATTTTCCAAAATGGATTGCCATTAATTTATTCCCTTTGCAAATTGCAGTGTCATTTAATTTCTCTCCTCTCTTTTTTTTTTTGTATTATTTTCCCCGCCAATTTGCATTTCCCGCCGGTGTGTGAGTGTGCGTGTCGTAATGCATTTTAGTAATTATTTTAGCTGCTTTTCACTTTTGTTGAGGGCAGTCATTAACATTTGAGATGGGCGCTAGAAAAGGGGCGGCCCGGGTCTGGGGAATTGTGGGTATGAAAATTCTTTGCCAACTTTGCCATAATTTAATTGCCTTTCTGACTTTACTAGATGGAAATTAATGATTATCATTTATCAAATTAATATATATTACTTTTTACACGACACTACGCAAAGCAAGAAAGAAATCGCAATGGTTTTTGTTCTAGAAAATAATGGTTGATGAGATGGGAATTTTTTTAATGCATTTTTCGATTAATTGTATTGTAATTGTGGCAGTTAATTATGTAATGCTAATTGGTACACTAAACTTAATATGAGATAATGGTAAAAAGAAAAAGGTTATCAAATTAAAAGACAAATCGGAAAATATTTAATAACAGTCACAATGTCAATATGTTAAAACCAACAACACCTTAAAAACATTAATCTCCTTAGCAACTATTTTCTCACTTTCCCGACCTTCACCATGGCCTTTGAACTCTAAAAGTGCAGAGAAGATTCTCGTCGATGCACAACATGGCCCCGGCATTATCAAACTTCCCGCAGTAATTGGGAGCTGAGAATATCGTGATCAGCTGGCGTTTGGCAAAGAACTCATAGCCGTCCTCGACGACCTGGTGACCCCGACAAATCAGGTTAAACTTGAAGCGATGCAGGAAGGCGCTGACCACATCCGCACCGAAAGTATGACTAACGCCGCGATCGTTCGCACCCCAACCCATAATCCGCACATCGGGATCGGACCACAGGATGTCGCACACCAAGCCAGATTCCGGGATTTCAATGGGTCTCTGGATTCTCCGTATTTGTTGCATGTTAAAAAGATGAGGACTCAAGCCGCCGTGGCAACAGAAGATGTTGTTCTCGACGATTGCCGCCAGAGGCATACAGTTGTAGCAGTCGACGAAAGTCCGCCACAATTTAACCGTAAATCGCCGCTTGCACTCGTCGTAGAATCCGTAGACATAGTTCAAGGTGGAGCACTCGTGATTGCCCCTCAGTAAATAGAAATCCTTTGGAAACCTCGCCTTGAGGGCCAATAGAAGGGTCAACGTTTCAATGGACTTCTTGCCTCTGTCCACATAATCGCCTAGCATTAAGTACCTTGAGTCCGGCGGATAACCATTCGCCTCAAAGTATCTCAAGAGATTCGAATATTGTCCGTGAATGTCGCCGAGTAAATTGATCGGAGCCGAGAGTTCCAGCAAAGTTGGCTGGCTCAGGAGTACCTCCCGTGCTCGGAGGCACACCCATTCGATATCCCGGATAGAAATCTGAGCTACAGTTCCCATTTCCCCACTCTGTTTTAGTTTCGCAATTATATGATCCAAATTAGTTTTCTCATTGAACTTGTGATGCCGATTTCTGTGCTCTGAAGCTTTGCCTAAGATTTTCTTAATCATAATGATGGCAATTTGGAATTTTGATTGGGAATTATATATCTGGAAGTATTTTTTTAATTGCTTAGTTGTTTTCGTTTTTTTTTTTTGTATTTTTTGATATGTAAGTCGAAGTGGAAGAACTTTTAGTGTCTAAGTTTTTGGGTCATTTTGAAGCTTATCATAAAGGCTACTTTCTTTGCATTGCATTTCCCTGAGACTAATCTCAGCTGAACAACAACCATCACAAAGCCACATAACTGTCATTCAATCAACTAAATTTGAAGCACCAGCTACTGCTAAACGGCCACTCCCCCTTCCCCACCCGCCTTATAAATCCCCTTTGGAAAGTCCCCCGCCCAGCATTGTCAGTCCGCCGCCCTTCATCTTTGTGTGAGCAATCGCATCCGTTGCTTTTATTTTTCAAATCAACATAATGGACACTTTGCCCGACGGCAGCATCATCCAGCCACCTCCCATCCCCCTTTTTGGCCATCACCCCTCCGGCCATGTCCATGCATACATATATAAACAGAAAACAGCAAAAAAAAAAAAAAAACACAAAGGCAACTTCAGTTTTTGGGCTTTGACAGCTGACATAGAATGCAGAAAGCGAGCGACGCATTTTCGAGTGGGTGGCCCAACCCCCCTTTTTACCAATGTCCCGCACTTTCAACCCCTCTGGGGTGGATAAAACCCCCAGCCCCCGCTGGCTTTGCCCTAGCCAATTCTTAAGCTAAAACCTACCGCAGATGCAAATTTTCTATGATTCGTACTTTTCTCCAAATGCACTTTAAATAAATTTGTTTATTAATAAAACATAATATTAAATAATCTTGAGTTCATGTCTTAGAATATATTTACTGATGAAAAGTAATAAATATTTTTGAAATATTTAATTTATACAGAATGACAAAATACAGCTAAGTTTCCACAAATATAAAATATTTTTATTAGTAAGACCTTTAAGATAAAAAGTTATTGAGGTGAAGAAAATAACCATAAAAATGCATAATATTTCTGATATAATCCCATGCAAGAAATATTTCTCTCAGTGCATGTCCGTCTCTCTGTCACTCATTAAACATTTTGCTAACTGCAACTCGGAGTGTTGTTGCTGTATGTTGCTGCCTGTTGTCATGGCAAGCGTCACAACAGTCGCCTGCATTTTGTTGATTTTACGAGCATGTGACAGGCTGAGATTCTGCGAATGCATCAACCCTGAACCGAGGAATGGAAATTGAAATGGTTTTCCGGGTGGAGGAGGCGGTGTGGCGGGTTCAGTCGGAAGCGGGCTACAAATGTAAGTCGTGTGATTAGTAACGGATTCCGCAAAAGGGCGCTGCAGCAGCCCCAAGCACTTAGTCCTAGACCCACTCTTTCTTTTTGAACTTCATCCCTGATCCATCAAGTTGACAAGACCATACCTGCCCACATACGAAGATTCGTTCTTTGATGAGAAATACTTTTGCACAGCGCCTTGACACAGACCCTTAGATGGTTTTTCTTTTTTCTGGCTAAATACAAACAAACGTCATCCGGAAATTTAAATTTATTTCGGTTCTCTTTCAATGTTTTAAGATATTTTTAATTATTTTTCTCAGAAGTAGTACCAAAGTTAAAGGAAGCAACGGAGATAAAATTATTGATTTTTTTTTTCATTTACATTTTTTCTAGATTTTTTTTGTTTTTCAATCAGAACTTATCTTAATCTCCTTGACTTCATTTTCTAAACTATCAAAAAGAGAGCATTTCCATATCACATCTCTTACTGAAAATGCATTTTCCTTTAATACATCACCTCTTCTTGTGTTGTGCAAGTAAATATTAAAATATTTCACACGAATTATAATCTCTGCACTTTGCATTTAGGGAGGGAGGGGGATTACTATTTTTGGATGAGCGGCTTCTGTTTCATACGGTAAACACAGCTGGACCCTTTCTTCCTCATATGTATTTTGGTGGTTTCCAGCTTTTTTGCTTATCTAATGCACTGCTCCCCCAGACTTAACATGTCTTTCTCCCTCGCACACTCTCTTGTCTTCTCTGTCTTGGACTGCTCTTATCTCTGCGGATGATATTGTTGAAAAATTCTTATTGTATTTAGCAGATTTAAGTTTTAATTACTTCTCTTATAAAGTATATTGAAAATATGGATATTTTCCTTACTAAATAAAATAAGTTGAATAATAATTTTATTTTCTTCTTTTTAAGATAATATTAAATATTCATTGATTAAAAGCAACTTTTAACTTTCAGTGCATTAGCAGTAGCTCTCGCTCTCCCTTACTCCTTTCGTTTGTCGCTGTAGCTGTTAATTGCTTACCGCTACTTTCTTGTACCCCCCTCTCTTTCTGCCTCTCCCCGTCTATAGCCCCTCTTTCTCACTCCGGTTAATCACTGCACACATCAATGCGGTAGTTGTTGTTGGCTTTGCTTAATGGGTTTTTATTTGTTTATGCATGTTTGAGTACGAAGATGAGGGATGCCCCCTGCTGACCACTCCTCATCTTCCTGCCATTCTATATCTATAGCCATCTCCTTCTATTTATCTTTGCTATATCCGTCGCTTCTTCATTTTTTCAAGTCCCATGGGAATTTTTACAAATGTTTTCAACGACAAGTGCTCTTTGCAAAAGGCGGGCGCATTGGGCGGCTAGAATTTCGAAATTGTTTATACTTAAATGGGCGTGACAGCCGAAAGTTTTTTGATTTTTGCCCTCTTAACTTTCGTTATTAATTATTTGTTTGTTCGGCCTTTTAAAGTTTTTCAGATGCTAAGAGGGGCTGAAAAGTTTAGTGTAAAAATAGGAGCAAGCATTTGTTTATATGATTAATCGTTTGTTGGTTTGCTCTTCTTTTTGGAAAATTTATCAACTTTGAAATAATGAATTTTGAAAAATAAATGGTAAAAATGAGATGTTAAATGGTTTAAGAAATATTTCAAATTTGAGTTTTCTAAAATAATTTTTTTCAATTTACAATATTTTCAAAATTAATTTAACATTTAATTACTTTTCCCTCAGCATTAACTTCCATTAAACCCATTAACTTTTCCCATAGGAAATACAATTTTCTACAACAGCCTTCATAACAAACCATCAATCACAGCCTTTGAATAATCTCATATGACAAAAATTCGAATCAATTAAATATTTATTGAGTAAAAAATTTGGGCATAAATATTGAATTTCCCTTGCAATTTTCTCCCCCACACGTCACTTGGAAAACATTAAATACATCTGTATACAATCGGAAACTTAATTAACATTGGACCGAAGGGAAAATGTCATTTCATAATTTCGATTTTTGACATTTGCCAGGGTGCGATGGATGCAGTTTTTGCGGGCTGTGACTAATTAACACATTTATAGAGTGACAAACATGAAGTACAGGCAAAGGGGGAGAGAGGCTTCCTAGAGCCCTCATATATAAACTCATATATACGTACACGATCTGTTCCTGCTTATTGGGAAACCCACTCGAATGACCCCGGGCATTAACATTTGCTGCTGCGCTTGTAATTATGCACAAACCGAAAGGGACAACTGTTGACATTTTCAATTGTCCCTATTTATGGCGACCCCAAAAATGTTTGCTAATTAAGCAATCAAATAGTTGACGCTTTGGTAATGAAAGTTTTCAAGGAAAAGTGGTTCGTTGGGTGGCTAAAAGGTTTTCAAAGGTTATGTATAGTTCTTAATAATGGTAGGGACTTCAAAACAAAAACCAGTAAACAGATTCTCTTGCAGGAGACCTCCTTTTGTTAAAATTAAAATTTCGGAATCCCACAGAGGCACAGACAAAAGGTCGAAAGTTCAACGAAAGATATGGTCCGAAAGTCGGACAAAAATACGGACGGCGAGACGTGTGCCGCCAAAGCTTTTATAGCTGTCGCCGTTCACACAATGCGGTCCAAAACAAATATAAATCAACTCCGGAGGCAGAGGATCCCCCTCCCACACCCGCTTTTCACTATATGTGGAGAGACAAAAGATCCCGCCCGACAAAAAAAGAAGAAAAACCGAGAAGAGAGTGGGAGATAGTTGCTGGTTTTTGTTTATTTATTCATTGATTTTAATACACTGCTGCGGACAGGGGAGTGAAAAACTCCTTGTAAATGGAAATGCATTTTCGATAGACCATTGGAAATTGATTTTCCCCCGCCAACAACACCTTTTCACCCCTTCCCCCTATCAAATTTTCCGACTAATTGTTTGTGCGTGCGAGCGTGTGTGTATGTGTGTGACGTTGGGTGGCATTTTCTTGTTCGTTTTTGGAAGCTGCTTTGTTTAGCTCTCATTGATTTCCAGCTGTTTTCCCCCGCTGCCTGATGGAAATTAATTTCCCCTCTAAACGGATTTTCATTGTAATTTTAATATTCTTTTTTTCGTTATGCGGTTGCTACAGTTGTTGGGTGTTCTTTAGTTCGTTTTATGGCTATTTTTATGTTTTAATATTTATGGTTTTTAATGTTCCATATTTAGTGGTTTCGTCTGACTGCCGCTTTATACACGAATCTCCTGTTTCCGATCCCCACACCCCCACTTCAAAAACAGTTTCTCTTTTATAGGCTTGTTCAGCAACGGAAATTGATCGTAAAATCCCACACTGACTCCTAAAAATGTTCACACGCTGCAGGGAAAACGCGTTAGTTGGCATTGGGTGAGGAAAATCAATTTCTTTTTATGATTAATGAGATTAAGTACGTGTTTACAAAAGGGATTAGTTAGTAAGTCTCTCTCTCTGGATAATATTCTGATCTGATATGTTAACATTTACTAACATTAATGGTATGGTTATTATGAATAAAAAGAAAGCCTTTCAGACCTTTCCTAAACTCCTCAATACATTTCCTTTTCTTCTCCAGTTGATACCATCAAAGTAAGGCTCCCACTTCGGCTGTTTGCACTTAGCCAACTGGAGTGTAAACAATAGAAACCGAAAAGAAGAAGAAAATGTAGTAGCTGGCCATAAAAGCAAGTGCAACACTTGATCAGCTTAAATCAAACAAAATGAGGAATAACATTTTCACTCACACTTTTTCGCATTTCCACTCACTCGCTAAGAAGTCAAGTCGACTCGACATGTCGGTGGGTGGCAAATGGGGGGTTGGTTCAGGGGGCTAGAATGGTAGGCGGGGTGCGGTCGTTGAACGTCCAAGTCGGTGTACTATACCATACTGTATATATGTCTCTGTGCATGCTTTCGACTATGGGGGGAAACTGTTATATATTTTCCAAACATTATAGCACTTTACACTTTTCACACGCTAAAATAATATTTTTGCAGGCGGTG